AAAAAAAATCTCGAAAGCTTAAACACTCTAAGCGAATAATCAAACGTACCTCAAAAATTTTCATTCTATCTTTATATCCTAATCCTAAACCTTCATAGGAAGCAGGTATAAAAGCCGAGTATACTGCACTGTCTTGAATTGCGGCCTTCACTGGATCTGTCAGCGATCCGTGCTTCTCAAGTTCCCTATGATCAACTGAAATTCACAGCTTTGAAATGGAATTTAAAACAAGGGTGAAACATTATCTGGTCTCAACTTAAATCCCATTTATATGAAGCATTCATTCAATCTGGAGGGATTTTGAAGTGCGTGCAATTTCCTGCACAAAACTTTCTGGTTTCTTTTTCAATAGGACGTGGTGATAAAATTGAAAATAAATATAAATTCGTATATCTCTCATCTCTGCCTCGAGAATTGATAAGGAGGAGCTCACGCAAATGAGATTTTTTAAATTACTATGAGATAAGGTTATGATAAAGAAAAAATGGAACTACTCAAAAGCAGATATGTTTCAACTCACCTGACAATTCTAGTGATTTCCTTAAAATTTCTGTAAAACCCTGGATTGCCTTAACGTCATCAGTATCCGTATATTCCGGGTAGATCATGAACTCCTGAGATTACAAAACAACATGTTGAAACAAACGCAAGGAGTGCTAGTAAATGTTGAAAATTAGCACCTAACCTTCTCAAACTTGTTCATGGCAAGACCCCTGGATAGGGAAAGCTTTTCTATGGGTACCTCCGATTTCGCCAAGTCCTCTATTTGAAGTTTGGTAACGCTAGGAAGTGAAGGCTCCTTGCCATTGCACAAATATACAGCACATCTGGAGAAACATCGCCGTCTGAGCCAAGTTAAGGAAATGGCTCTCATCTGGGAAAAAAACTTTAGGCGATTTTGTTAATGAAGTAGCTCGATATGATGTCTAATGTGTTGTTAATGCGACAGCGTGTAGTATAGGACATGGAGTCATATCCTGAAAAGCGCAATGACGGAGGAGAAAATCTCTGAAGACGAAGAACGGTCAAAGGTCAGGCGATCATAGACAATTCATATGAACTTCCTGCGACATTACCGACATGCTTGATAAAATACAAAGAAGTTGATAAAAACCGTTTTTCTAGATTGATTCATATTTAGTCCTTTTGTCTTCACTCGACAAACTCTAAATTTTTACAGATGTCCTAGGTTGACGCTTTTCTGCGCCAGAGGACGTTGGCCCTAATACTACGTATCAAA